AGAGAGAGAGAGAGAGAGAGAGAGAGAGGAGAGAGAGAGAGAGAGAGAGAGAGAGAGAGAGAGAGAGAGAGAGAGAGAGAATCAGATCTCCTGGAACTTGAGATGCAAGGTTATGAGCAACCATGTGGGTGTTGAAAACTGAACCTGGGTCCTCTGCAAGAGAAGTCCATGTTTTTAAACTCCAAGACATTTCTCCATCCCTAAAACCACCTTGTTTTTTATTTTATTTTTTAAAAATATTTATTTATTATGTGTACAATATTCCATCTGTGTGTATGTCTGCAGGCCAGAAGAGGGCACCAGACCTCATTACAGATGGTTGTGAGCCACCATGTGGTTGCCGGGAATTGAACTCAGGAACTTTAGAAGAGCAGGCAATGCTCTTAACTACTGAGCCATCTCTCCAGCTCCACCACCTTGTTTTTTAAACAAAGAAAGAAAACTGGGAGAGATGACCAAGTTGGTCAAGTACTTGCCAAGCAAGTGTGAAGACCTGTATGTGGTCTCAGATACAGTAGCACCCATCTTTAATCCCAGTCCTGAAGTGGGGTAGAGACCAGAGGTCTCTGGAGCTTGCTGGTCAACCAGTCTAGCTCAATTGGTAAACTCCAGGTATAGTGAGAGACCCTATCCAAAAGATAAGGTTAAGGGCCTGGAGGGCTGACTCTGTGGTTAAGAGCCCTGGTTGTTTAGAGGTGGATTTTATCCACAGCTCCATTCATGATAGCTAACTGTTAACTCCAGTTCCAGAGATCAATAACGCTCTTCTGGCCTCTACAGACACCACACACACACACACACACACACACACACACACACACACACACACAGGCAAATTACCCCCACATATGAAATAATAATAATAATAATAAGGTGAAGAGCAACTGAGGAAAACACCTGAAAGTTGATCTCTGGCTTCTCCATTCACAGTACCCTTCCCCCCAACAAGCACAGTTGTCCATGGCAGTAATCCCAGTATTTGAGAGGTAGGGATAGAAGATCAGAAGTTCAGGACTAGCTTTAAATACATAGTGAATTGAAAGTCAGCCCGAGTTATGAGAGACCTTGTCCTTTTTTTTTTTAAAATGTTCATTGGTGTTTTGCTTGCATGTATGCATGTCTGTGTAAGGGTGTTGGTTCCCCTGGAAGTGGAGTTACAGTTTTGAGCTGCCATGTGGGTGCTGGATATTGAATCTGGGTCCTCTGGAAGAACAGCTAGTGATCTTACTGCTGAGCGATCTCTCTCACACCCCCACCCCTCTTTTTTTTTTTTTTTTTTTTTTTGAGACAAAAATCTCTTTACGTATTCTTGGCTGTCTTGGAACTTTCTATGTGTTATATGATATTTTGTTTGTGTTCTGACAAATAAAGCTTGCCTGGAGACCAGAGGGTGGAGCTAGCACTAGTTAACTACAGAGGCCAGGCAGTGGTGGCACACACCTGTAATCCCAGCACTTGGGTGACGTAAGTAGGAAAAGAAGGAGTTCAAGGCCACCCTGGGCTACAGGAGATTGAACCAGTTTAATACAGAAACAGAACGGAGTGGTGGAAGCTCACCCCTTTGATCCTAGAACTTGGGATCCCAAGCCTTTGATCCAGCACTAGGGAGGTGGAGACAGGAATATAAGGCAGGTGAAGACAGGATCTCAGCACCCATGGAATCTGAGGACTTGATACCCCCCTTTCAGTCTGAGGATTTGTAGAAACAGAATTGCCCCCATTCAGTCTGATTCAGACACCACCACCCCCAATTTGATCTAAGTATTCATAGAGGTAAGAAGTCTCTGATCTTTCAGCTTTTACTCTCAATACCTGATTCCGGGTTTTTATTGTTAAGACTAATTAGAATCACCGGCCGGTGGTGCTACACTCCTTTAATCACAGCTTTCGGGAGTCAGAGGCAGGTGGATCTCTGTGAGTTTGAGGTCAGTCTGGTCTACAAAGAAGAGAGTTCCAGGCCAGCCAGGGCTGATGCACAGAGAAATCCTGTCTCAAAACACCAAAACAAACAAACAAACAAACCAAAAAAAAAAACCCAAACCAAAAAATCCAACTAATTAGAATTGTGCTTCAGATATGGAGATGGCTAGCTTGAGAGAACATAAGTGTGTGTGTGTGTGTGTGTGTGTGTGTGTGTGTGTGTGTGTAATTTATTTGAGAAAGGGTTTCTCTGTGTAGCTGTCCTGGAACTCACTCTGTAGACTAGGCTAGCCTCAAACTCGGATATCCATCTGCCTCTGCATTCTGAATGGTAGGATTAAAAGTGCGCACCACCACTGCCTGGATCCTTGCCCTGCTTTTTAATAGGCATTTATGGGAGCAGCATATATTGATTTTTAAAAAAGAGCTATTTATTTATTTATTATGCACACAGTGTTCTGCCTGCATGTATGCAGGCCCGAAGAGGACACCAGATCTCATTACAGATGCTTGTGAGCCACCATGTGGTGGCTGGAAATTGAACTCAGGACCTCTGGAAGAGCAACCAGTGCTCTTAACCTCTGAGCCCCAATCTTTTTTTTTTTTAATTGAAGGCTTATTTTTATTTTATTTTTTATTTTTTTAAAGATTTATTTATTTATTATGTATACAGCGTTCTGCACGCCTGTATGCCAGAAAAGGACACCAGATCTCATTATAGGTACCTGGGAGGCACCATGTGGTTGCTGGGAATTGAACTCATGACCTCAGGAAGAATAGCTAGTGCTCTTAACCTCTGAGCCATCTCTCCAGCCCCCAATAGGTTCCATTATGACGTTTCTTTTTTGTTTGTTTGTTTTTCGAGACAGGGTTCTCTGTAGTTTTTAGAGTCTGTCCTGGAACTAGTTCTTGTGGACAAAGGCTAGCCTCAAACTCACAGAGATCCGCCTGCGTCTGCCTCCCGAGTGCTGGGTTTAAAGGCGTGCGCCACCACCACCCATTATTTTTATTTTAAATGTATGGACATCTTGTCTGAGCTATGTATATCTATGTACCATATATGTACAGTCCCCTCAGAGTCCAGAAGAGGGTACCGGATCCCCTGTTACCAGAGGAACAGAGGGTTGCGAAGCACCATGTGGGTTCTGGGAATTAAACCTCGGCAAGAACTGTTAGTGCTCTTAACTGTTGAGCTATCTTTCCAGTCCTCCTTCTTTGATCTTATAGTATTGACTTTCGGTTACAATATCAGGATATATTCGACAGGGGCATGCAGACATTGAAAGGTAAAGCATTGGCTCAGGACCCCAAGACCAAGTTCTCAGTACAAAGGAGATTTATTTGTCCAAGAGTGACAGAGGGCAGGAAATAAGAGACAAAGACAGGAGATAGAGGATGAGGGCGGAAGAAATATTTGCCCCGGAGGAACAAAGGACTACTTCTGGATAGAGAGGAGACAAATATGGAACTTAAGAAAATGGCAGTTTATAAAGGGGAAACCCCATGTTAGGATGAAGTGTTCATTTTTAATTGGGCATGTTAATTACGAGCTTTGATTACTGGACTTTAATACTTTGATAGCTGGACTTTGGTAATTAGCCTCAGGAAGAGGAAGTGGTCAAATAAGGGAACAGACTTTGGTGGCTAGCTTTATAAACGTAATCTTGAGCAAGGCAGGGTGAATGGGAGACGGGCCAGGCTTCCCAGAGCCATGCCGGTCAATCTCGAGCTGGCCAGAGTCCCTTCAATCATGACACCAGGTGGTTGGGACCAACAAGCCTCTCAATGTAGACAATTTACCTCTAAACTTGGAGTCAGCTGTTGTAAGATCATTAGCTGGAATATTATGGAAGAAGTTGCGAAGCAGAAGTTTTGCCTTGTTTTCCGTTAGAATTACGATGTACCTGAATTGCTAGTAGCCCTTTGCCTTATCGGATTAAGTCGGAAAAGATTCTCTCCTATTTTCTGCACACGAACTGACAATCAGTCTCCCTCTACAGAGGCAAGACCAGGACCACCCCGGAGCACCTGGCGGCGCGTAAACCTAGGGATGCCATGTCAAAGCCACCAGTACATCCAGCACATTTACGAGGATAGCACCAGAAAACAAGCAGCTACATTACGGGAGGCCAAACCATAACTCCCAGCAGGCCCCACGGGCGGGAAAGCGTGCCTTCTCATTGGGAGGGACTAGCAGCGTGCCTTTCCATTGGGCAGCGGCTCCACCAGCCGACAAAGCCCTAGCGCGCGGGGCACGGCGGGAGTGGAGGCCGCGGGATTTGCGGTCGTACTTCATCTCCCGGCGGGCCCCGCGCTGAAGGCGGTGGCGCGACGCCTTTGTGGAAGCCGGAGCCCACCGGGAGGAAGTTCCGGTCTCCGCGACGCTGGGTCTGTGGCGGCCGCTAAGGAGGAGGAGCGGGCCGCGGGGGCTGCGCTGCTTTGGTAAGGGCCCAGGACAGGAGAGAGGGCGTGCCCGAGCTGCTGGGACAGGGTCAGCTGTCCGGGCGGCTCCGGTAATCGTGGGCCCGCGCGGCCTAGAAGCCGTGACTTCGAAGACACGGGGCGACCGCGGCCTCGCTCGCAAAGACAGCCTAGCGGCGGTGTGCTGAGGGAGGCACTGCTCGCGGCCGGAACGCCCCGGAACGGTCGCGGGCCCGGGGCGGGGCTCGAGGCGGCGGTAGAATTACCGGTCCCTTCGCGGAGCGGCCAGCTGTGGGGTGAGGGACCAGCGCGAGATAGTGGCTTCGGCGCTTCGTTCCGTGAAGCTGCAGGCGGGCTTCTCTTTTTCTCTTTTCCCTTGTGTTTGTGATCCAGTTCTGAGACATCACTGGATACGGAGTTCTTGCGCCCTGCAAGTAACCTTGGCCGCCCACCCAGACGCCCAGCCAGGAAGGTGCGAGAGCTCAGAACCTGGCCCACGGGCCCGGAGAACCGGGAGGCGGGCGAGGGTGACTGGTGGGGTCTGCACCCGTTGGGCGAATGTAGGAGGAGAGTGATAATTCCACATATTCCTGCTTTAGATTTCTTTTGGCCTTGTATATAACGCGTTTTTCTTTTAACTTTAGAATTGACGTTGAGCTAATGAATTCGAGTGTGGGGCTGCGTTTTTTAATAAAAAGAAACGGCTTGATTTGTAGGGCACATAACCTGGGGGTAGTTTTTTTTTTCTTTTTGCACATTCTAGGCTTGCTTATTAAGTTCAGACTTTGAGACTAATTGGACTTTTGTTAGTTTCCAACTTCCCGTTGATTAAATATGCCATAGTTGCCTATGCTTGTGCACATCAAAGGAAAAGGTGTCAAGGCGAGTAACAGTTAGTGACGATGTGGAAGGTAACGACTGCTGTATGATCATCTTGAGGAAGCGTACAAGTTGAATCTAATGCCGTTTCTGGTGGAGCATACTTGTAATCCTGGCATTTAGGAGGATGAGATAGGAGGATGTCAGGTTTGGGGCCATCCTAAACTGCATTGAGACACTAAAGAAAATTGAATCTGAATTTTAACTCCTTAATTAGTACACTTACATAAATACTTACCTTTGTTTAAAATCTATAGGATTATATAGTATATATAATCTATTTATAAAATCTCTAAGATAGGTTGGACTCAGTTCTGAGCAGTCATAACTTCCTTGCAGGTCATTGAATCCAGGGCTTTCTTTACACTTTCTAGGCGAGTTCTCTACCACTGAGCTGCAAACAGCCCCAGCCTCCTTACAGAAGTTTGTTACCAGACTTGTGTTTATGGGTTTTGTAGCCCTTCACATAAGGAAGCATTTCCAATGGGAAAGTTATTGTCCCAACAAACTTTTTTTTTTTTTTTGTCTTTTTGAAACAGGGTTTCTCATAGCTTAGCCTGGATTCGAACTACTAGGCTTGCCTTAAATTCCTGATCTTTCTGCTTGTATTTTCAAAATACTACAATTGGTTGCTGTCGTTCCTTGCTAAGGGGAGCTTATTAAATAAATGTACTCTAAGCTAAAGTGTTCTGCCATTGTACTAGACACCCAGCCCTTAAAGGACTTTTCAAATATATTTGTTGACATGCTTAGATGTATAAACTGATGTTATTGACTTGATTCAGAATCAGAGTAACATAGATAATAAAACTATTGAACAGTTTTTATTTATTTATTTACTTACTGAAGACAGGGTCTCATGATGCAGCTCTGGTTTGCCTGGAACTAGGTGTGTAGACCAGGTTGGTCGTGAACTTACAGAGATCTGCCTGCCTGTGTGTCTAGAGTGGTGTGATTAAAAATGTATGCCTACAAGCCTGGTCTGGGTGCCTTTTCTAACAGTTCTGTCGTGGTGTGGAACACATTATAGTAGAGTTGATAACTGTAGAGTTTCAAAGATAAGACATTGAATCCCTGTACTCTTCACTAACTCATTGGTGTTGGACAAATTATTTACCTTTCCCAAGTTTCAGTTCTTCATCTTGTGCAGGGTTGTTTTGGTGAGATAGATTATTTATTGTGCTACTTGACAGTTTTTTTTTTGTAATTTTATTAAATTATAAAAGTTTCCATTTCTGCCCCTCCTCCCACCACCCTCCCACTCCCCCACTCCCTCTCCTCCTCCCTCTCCATCCCTAAGAGCAGTCAGGACAGTTTTTGCATGTGATACCATGCCCAACTTCTGATACTCGAAATTGAACCCACAGTTTTGTGAATTTTAGGCAAGTGCTCTCCTATTGAGCTATGTCCCCAGGCCCAGATTTGTTATGTAATACTTGTAATGCTCTTAGGACAATGTCTGGTGTGCAGAAAGTGTTCACTAGCTATTAGCCACCACTATTGCTTTTTTTTCCCTTTGAGATAATAATTTTACTCCCAGTTTTGCCCAGGCTAGTGCAAACTTTAGTTCTGAGAGGTTGGGCAACTTGTGGGAGTTGGTTATTTCATTCTGTAAAGGTGCCACCATTAAATCCCCAAAATTCTCCTGTCTCCACCTCTTCCGTGCTAAAATCACAAATGTGAACCCTCACTCCTACCTTTTTATTGTTGGTGCTGACTATTGAACTCAGCTTTTTATGTTTGCTCAGCAAGCAGTTTAACAACCGAGCTTTTCCCCTAGCAACCCCCTCCCCTTCCACACTATAGTGAGATAGAGGCTCACTATAGATTCCAGGCTGGCCTAGAACTCACAAAAGAGCCACCAGACTCTGCCTCCCAGTTTTGGAATTTAAAGCCTGTGTCACCAAGCCTGACAACTTCACTTTTTTTTTTTTTTTTTTTTTTTTTTTTTTGAGATAGTTTCATGTAGCCCAGACTGGCCTGGAATTCCTACTACTGCAGCTTTTTTCTTACAGAGGTTATAGGGTATGTCGCCTTACCCCACATTATACTGCTATTCTTTAAAATTATACCAAATGTATATTTTTATATACACTGTAACAAAATTTTACCCTTTAAGCCATTTTCAAGTATACAGTTCAGGGGGGCATTAGTTAACAGTCACAAAAACTATTGCAACCAAGAATGGCTATTGCTAAAACTTTTCTCCTCATCTGTCAGAAACTCTGTAACCTAAAAGAGTAACTTTCCATGTAACCCCTGGTAACTTTTACTTTCTCTTTGAATTTATGTTTCAAGTATGAATGGAATGATACAATATGGTCCTTTCTGTGTTTGGCCTGATTGGCTTGGTATAATCATTTTAAAGTTGATTGATAGGATAGTATGTATCAGAATTTTATTTCTCTTCTAATTAAATAGTATTTCATCCTTTGTATAGAGTACCAAAAACAGATTAATTTTATTTTTTAATTTTTAACTTATGGGCTAGAGAGATGGCTCAGAGTTTAAGAGCACTGACTGCTTTTCCGGAGGTCCTGAGTTCAATTCCCAGCAACCACATCACAACCATCTGTAATGAGATGCCCTCTTCTGACCTGCAGCATACATGCAGACAGAATACTGTATACATAATTAATAAATAAATCTTAACAACAACAAAAAGACAGAACCAATTGCCTCTGAGGGTGAGAGTCCCCTTTCTTTGAAATTGTTTAACCAGAGGCAAGATGTATATTCTGTTGAAGACGAGATGAAAAGTTGAGCTAAATTTAAAAAAAAAAGTAAGAAAAGAAAAAAAATTAAAAAAAAATTTAACTTATGTAAATCTGCATGTGGGTATGTACAAGTGAGTGTAGATGTTTATGGAGGCCACAGGCGTGGAACCCCATAGAACTGGAGTTACAGGCAGTTGCCAGTCACCTGTTGTGGATGCTGGTCCTCTGAGAGAGTAATGAATGAAAAATGGAATGTATACCCTGGCATTGCTGAAACATGCATGGACAGCCAGTGTATGGCAGTTCTGTTGAACTTGTCTGTATTGGATTTCATGGTCTAAATTGATGAGGACAACTGACCAGGTCTCTTCCTCAAGAGGGTACCAGATCTCATTGCAGATGGCTGGGAGCCACCCTGTGGTTGCTGGGAATTGAACTCAGGACCTCTGGAAGAGCAGGCAGTGCTCTTAATTGTTGAACCATCTTCCTAAGAGTAGTGCTTATTCTTAACCAGTGAGTCATTTCTCTAGCCCTTAGAATACATTAAGAAAAAAAAAATCTAGGGGGCTGGAGAGATGGCTCAGCTGTTAAGAGCACTGCATGCTCTTCCAGAGGTCCTGGGTTCAATTCCCAGCAACCACATGATGGTTCACCACCATCTGTAATGAGATCTGGTGTCCTCTTCTGGTGTGCAGGAATACATGGAGGCAGAACACTATGTACATAATAAATGAATATTTTTTTTTTTTTGAGACAGGTTTCTCTGTGTAGCTTTGAAGCCTGTCCTGGGTTCTGGCACTAGCTCTGTAGACCAGGCTGGGCTCGAACTCACAGAGATCCACCTGCCTCTGCCTCCGATTAAAGGCGTGTGCCACCACTGCCTGACTGAATAAATCTTTTTTTTTTTTTAATCCAGTCATCTATTTTTTGTTGTTCTTTGTGTTTGTTGTTTTTTGAGACAGGATTTCTCTGTAGGCCCTGGCCGAGCTCAGGCTGGCCTTGATCTTAGATTCTTCTGTCTTCCCAGTCTTTGTTTTGTTTTGTTTTTTTCAAGACAGGGTTTCTTTGTGGAGCAGCATTAGCTCTCCTGGAACTTGCTTTGTAGACCTCTAATTCACAGAGATCCGCCTGCCTCTGCCTCCCAAGTGTTGGGATTAAAGGCCCGCGTCACCTCCACCCAAACTCCACAATCATCTATTTTAACATTTGGCTGTAGTAAATAATGTTTGAACATTGATATACAAATATAGTTTGTCCAGTTGTTTTTGCAATGTTCTGTCAAACTAAACTCAGATTTTAAGCATTTCATGCTAGGCAAGCATTTTACTACTAAGCTAAAACCCCCACTCCAGCTCTATTTTAACCTTAACCTTTATTCTTTAAAAAAAAGTAATAATTAAATATTTTTAATTTAATATTTTAAATAATTAAATTTAGATATAATAATAATAACATTGGTGTTCTTAGTCTCACTCTGTAACCCTTACTGTCTTATTATTATATCCCTGACTGTAGATACCATATATATGATATATGTTTAAAAATATATATTATTTTGTATTTTTGAAATATGGTCTCATGTAGCAGCCTGAGCCTTGAAGTCACCATGTATGCATAACTTTGACCCTCTTATCTCTCAAGTGCTGGAATTCCAGTGATGTACACCTATTGCATGATGATATACAACTGTAATCCCAGCACTTGGGAGGCAGAGGTAGGGGGTTTCTGTAAGCCTGAAGAGGGCCTGGTTTTATTTCTATAAACAATCAAGTTTCAAAACAAAAACCATATGATCCAACAATTATACTTAGGTGTATCCCAAGGGATAGGGAACGTAATCTCAAAAAGTTATTTGTATCCATGCTCATCCAGCAAT